ACGGGAGCGCTCCGGTCGCCTCGAGTCCAGAAGCCCCTCTATGGCAACGGGGTATTCGGCATCGTACTTACCGTGGTGCTGGCTGCCGCAGGACCAGGGGTGCCACGGCCCTCGTTACCAAGAACCTGCTTTTGGTCTTCAGGACCACGGGTGACGAGAATTCGGAAGTGCTGCTGCCTCGTGTTTTGATCTGGTCTGATTTTAAACAAGCATCCCTGCCCTTGCGGAATCCGCTCTACCGAGTCGCTCCTAGACATTTCTGACCCACTGCTGCCACTTCCACGCGGTTCCGAGTTCAATCCGTCATCTTTTGGGCCAATAAAAAAAAGGGAGGGGGGGGGAGTTACTCTTTTCTAGCCGTATCCGAGGATACCGGACCAATCTGTCCCCTTTTGTCCCAGTAAACCCAAAGTTGTGTTCGCCCCCTGCACCCGCACCGCTTGTCTGCGGCTGCTGTAACTGGAGAACAAAGAGCTTTTTCCCGGCGTTTGCTGACATGTCTGGCACATGTTGCAGAGACCAGCGCCGGGGTTCAGGGGTGGGAGCATTATTATTTTGAGCCTCAGCACCAAAGGGCAGCAGAGTAACCTGAGGCACGTCTGCACTCGAAGCCCGATGCTGAATCCTCACGCCACTGATGTTTAAACCCGAAGCTGCTTCGTTTGCCTCGCCGTCTTGGGCAGCCGAGGACACATCCTCGCTCGGGTTATTAGAAGGAATAGTACAAAATAGTCGACGGTTACAGCAAACGGTTCCGTTAACCTGCTGCCCTAGCTCTTCCGTCAGCCTGGGCGGAGAATTTTCAGGAGTGGCCTCTGGACTGCTCGGCGAAGAAGAACGGTTGTCAACAGGGGATGCGTAGCGCTCCCGAAAGTCCGTGGATTTGCCAGGAAGCGTCTCCTCAGGAGATTCCAGGGCCGCACACTCGTCCGCACAGCCGTTGGCAGCTTTGCGCTGAAGGGAGATCTGCATGGACGAGCTTCTCGTTGGACGCACGTCGATACTGTTCAGCAGCTGGGGAATAAACATGGATGTGCTCCTCTTTAAGGAGCCCACTTCTTGCAAATCATCGCCGCCACCGTAATCTGCTCCGTGTCGGGAGAAAGCATGAGGACTGTTTCTTCTTGGCAAGGTGTGGAATGCCATGAAAAAGTCATCTTCTCTCTCCTGGTCGAGGATCTCCGATTCGGGGGCTGTGTTGCTTCGCCCAGAGCCAAAATGAAACCGCAGCCGATGGGCCATGGTTTTACAGAGAGGAGAAAAGGAGAGGGAGAACAGCAACAATTCAGGCACTGCCAGAAGTTAAAAACCAAAGACATAAACTCCAAGAAAAAGTGTCCCATCTGCCAAACTGTTAGCGCTGCAGCCCTGATAGCGACAGATAGCAGAAATAGCCCAAGTGGCAAGCAGCATTCCAGGCATGATTGGGTAAGCGCAACCAGCGCTCCCACACACTGTGACATGGGGTAGGATGGCGGGGGTCACGTGCCCTGCTCCCCCCTCTCCAATGTAAGCTCGGGGGGGTGTGTTTTTTCTCTCTCTCTCTTTTTTTTTTTTTTTTTGCAGCAAGCGCCTGAAACGGCACCTTCCCAGCTGCTCCTTTTCCATCAGAGCGGCGCGGCCCCAGCGGGAGAGCTCGCGCAGCCGACTAAGGCAGCGAACGCGCTCGGCGCTGCTATAAATCTAAGCCCCATCAGACCCACAAGGCACAGTTGTACAAAGCGTACACACAAAAAAAATTTAACTGCAACAAACCCGCTTCCATTTAGCATGAAAAGCTTAGGTCCACTCCGCATGCAAACGAGAAAAGTTACTCCAAGCTTAACGCCTTGGGGGTGTTACAGCGTCAGGCTACCACGGCAGAGCATGTAAATATAGCACGGTTGCGCTTTCAATTTTAACTCTGCTCCTAACACGATTAAGCAACAAACTCCTCGCCTTTAAAAAGCCACAGCTTTTCCACCGTCCCTACGGACGCAGCATAACCTGCCCTGCCCCGCGTAGTCCCTTTTCGTAATTAAAGATTACAACGAACAAAGCAATCGCACGCACGGGAAAGGCTTCTCACGCGATAAAAGCAGCAGAAAAGCGTGCGATGGAAGGAGACAAAGCTGCTCTTTTAGTTTTACCAGGCAGTGAAGACGAGTGAGGACCGGAGGTGGGCGTTGCATGTTGTTTGTACCGACCGGCCTCAAACACGGCGCAGAAACTCTCCCCGCTGCTGGCCGGCCTCCAGCGGGAAAGTCAGCAACAGTGCTGGGCGTGCGACTGCCGGCGCGGCACGCAGCTACGCGCTCCGAGGGCCCAGAGACCTCGCAAGAGCAACGGGCAGACGGGGCACGGCACGAGGCAGAACCAGCACCCTGCGTCAGCCCTTCTGCGACGCAGACGCTCGGTGGCGCGGGGGCGCTCGCGGCCGAAGCTCCCTACGGCGCTCGCTGGCACGTCCCAGGGAAGAAGCCGTTCCCCAAGAAGCGTGGCTTCGTTTCAACGCACGGACGTGTGCTCCCTGGGAGGACCCAACAGCCCGAGCTTTGTCAGCAGCTCTGCACACTCGCAGGTGGGGGACCCATACTCTACCCAGACCCCTGTGCGCAAGCGGCGTGTTTTCCAGAGGCAGAAAACAGCCCATCGCGAGAGAAATGGAAGCTCCCGAGGCCGTCACTGCCAACAGGCGGCACAATCCCCGGCAGTTTGAAGCGGACTACGAGGCAACAAGACAAAACCCACAAATAGCTCCTATACAGCAACAGTACTGTAGGTGGCCTTGCAGAAGCAGAGGTGGCGGCATTATTTTATCGCATTTTTCAGATAAAACACATTCCCTGAGGACAGACACGGTCCCTCTCTGCGCCAGAGATGAAGCTTGCAGCGTACGTTCTCGACTCGATCGGGGGACAGACAGGAAAGGGCGTACTGCAGAGACAGAAAGCGCTTCGACGGTTTGGGAATGCAAGGAAGAAACAAAGTTGTTGGGATAAACCCCATGCAAGTCTTGACAGTATTTCAGAGTAAAGCCAAGCTGATCAGCTCAACCCTCCTCATTCTGCAAATGTAACCCGATGGAAATCTGCCACTCTGAGCCCCCCGAGCACTCGCTTCGCCAACAGCTCGGAACGCCTTCCCAGAGGAAAGCGAGGGCTCCGCAGCCACGGGTGATGCCTTCGCAAGTGTTACGAGCCCAAGAGCAGGCTGCCTGCCGAAGTGGGAAGGCAGGAAGGACACCGTTCAACGATGAAGTAGCACCAACACCGCCAGCCTAAGGCCAGCCCTGCACACAGAAACGTGAAAACCTCAAGCAATACCTGAAACGAGTCCAGCAACGCTGCCCATTTCTCAGCTCTCGCCGCCTGTGGGAGTTTTTTCCTGAACTGCCACCCCATTCCTGCGCCCCCGGACATCCCCATGCCAGCCGCCACCCTCTGCGGGCCAGGGCGAAGCCTCTTCCACCAGTTCTGCTGTGTCCCCTGCACCACCACAACTGTCTTCCAGCTGTCCCCCGAGACACACGCAAGCCCCGCAGGACCGTCAGCACAGTCCTGAGCCCCGGCTTCACGCTCTGCCTCACCGTTACGGACAGGGGGCTTCTGCCCCGGCGCTGTTTGCATCAGCTGGCAACGGAAGAGGACCTTAACGCTGGGCAGAACTGACCGACGAGCTCCTCCAAGTTCAAAAGGCACAGGACTGTTTCAGTAGGGCAAGTGGTCATTATATGTCAGTGAATACGCTCACCGTCAGCCCCCGCCAAACACACACTGCCACAGACTTCCCCATTTCCCCCCTCCTACAGGAGGATATAATTAATCATTTGGCTAGAAATCCTTGGTTTTCCCCAGAAGATTACAGCTCGCGTGTTTCTCTTTGCTCTACATTTAAGAGGAAGACAGAGGACACAAATACAGTTTGTGAATAAAAAATGTTTCCATACTGGGTTGTGGGTTTGGTTTTTTTTTAAATAAAAGGATCTTCACAACACCAATCCTGACCTTCACAAAGCAAACAAGCTTAGCAGAGATTGTACTGCACCAGCCAAGAAAACATAATACTTAGAGATGATGTTACCGTACCATAAACAAAGAGATGATGTTACTGTTTTCAAAACACAAAAAAACCCCCAAAGAAGTCATTCACCCCGTGTGCCGCTAGCCAGCATATTGAACCTGCTATGCTCAGAGTGACAGTGTCACTTATTCCACCTAGGGCTGCATGAAAACCTTTTCTACTTAATCACAATTCACAGTGCGGGTGGTGAGGCGCTGGCACAGGCTGCCCAGAGGAGTCGTGGCTGCCCCGTCCCTGGAAGTGTTCAAGGCCAGGCTGGACGGGGCCTCGAGCAGCCTGATGGAGGGAAAGATGTCCCTGCCTGTGGTGGGGGGGTCGGACTGGATGGCCTCTGAAGGTCCCTTCCCACCCAAACCACTCTGTCAGTCTATGATAACAAAGCAAGCGGCAGGAGGATGTTGGAAGACTTCTCTAGAAGAGCTGCTGCATCAGGCAAATGAAGTTCAAGACTGAGACCACCACCACTGTGCTGGGCATTCTGAGGTAGAGAATTGAAACCATAACAGAGCATTATTTTGCCCTTACCTTAAACCTTCATACACCCCCACCTTGAGTGCAGCCCTAGTAACCACATCCCAAAGAAGGATGCAGAAGTGTTAACAGGTACAGGAAAGCGACACCAACACCATCGGAGGATGAAGCAGCTGCTTTGTAAGCAAGTAAAAAGGTTAGGACTTTATCAGTTTGCACCAGAGGGGCGTAAGGACAAACCCAATGTTTTCCCTGTCAGACCATTTGGGTCTAACCCAGCAGGGTACTACTTTTGTACCCTGACTATTAGTCCCGAACCCAGATGCTTTTTATGCCTCTATCTGCATTTCTCAGCACACTCATTTAAACCACCGACAAGAATACACCTTTGAGACACGCTGTATTTTCACCACTGGTGTTAGGCAGAGCCTTGGGGTCAGTAAAACACGATCACGCCAAGCACTCACCAATCTGTTTTCATCGAACACTTCAAACAGGAGACGATGGTTGCTTGGGTTTACCTATGAGAAAATTGAAATAAAGTCACTTTAATGTTCATTACCTTGGTGGTAGCAATGTATGGGTACTGGTTCATACAGTGATTAAACCAAGGCAAAGGGAAGAGGGCTAGAACAGGTTTTAGGTATGCCAGTCTTTAGTTTTACTTAAACTGGAGCACTAGAACACTGTTTCTAAACCCTACACAACTGGCAATAGCCTAAGAGTTAATGTGAAAAGCTCTTGTTGACGATGTTCAGCCAGGACTGTTGCTGTGTTTCTCTCACCAGAGGAAGCTCAGAGGAAAGGCAAGGCTGCGGAGAGGACATCCCCGGGCAGACCACGGCCTGTGGGAACGAGTCCCGGGCTGGATGGACTCCCAGGGCTCCCAGCTTTGTTTTGTTCTACAGCTGCAAAACTCAGTTAACATGTAGGGAGCTTACTCCCCACTTACTGTCTTACTGTCCCTCTTTCAGAACTTCACAGCCGTCTGTATTTTGGACTGTCTATCGCTCACCATTTCTAGCCCATTTATCACACATGCCTGGGGAAAACCCAACAGAAGTCTCCCCAACATCTGAAAAGAACAAGTATCCTTCAGAAAGTTACCTACAGTGAAGCAAGTTTAAGCAGAAAGACTGCCAACGTTTAAAAGGAAAACCCAACCAAAAAAGGGCTCCGGCAGGAGACGAGCCAGCCACCATTAAACGAGAAGAAGGTTCGGTAGTATTTGATCCACTTGATGTATTTTTTCCAGAAAAACTTTGTAAGCCAGGTTACTGTGTCCAACTTGTTTAATTAAGACAAATTTAGAAGCACTATTCTGCAATGGGCCGATAGTTCTGTGGGGGTGGCGATGGACACGCCAGCCTTGAGAAGGTCAGGGAACCATGACAGTCGGCAAGGGGCAAGCATTGCTTGGTCTAGCCATGTTGCTGCTCAGGATGTTCAAGACGTTCTAGCAGAGCTTCTGGAAACTGCATCTCTAGTTTAAGCAACACAGATTGTGGCAGTTTTGTGTATTTGTGTATTTTTGTATATTAATGGTTTGAAGCTGCGCCAGGGCAGGTTTAGGCTAGACATTAGGAAAAACTTCTTCACCGAAAGGGTTGTCAGGCTCTGGAAGGGGCTGCCCAGCGAGGTGGTAGAGTCCTCCTCCCTGGAGGGATTTAAAAGAAGGATAGATGAGGTGCTTAGGGACATGGTTTAGTGGTGGGATGGCAGGGTTAGGTTAAAGGTTGGACTCGATGATCTCAAAGGTCTTTTCCAACCAAAATGATTCTATGATTCTCCCTTCCTGGGAAAAGTAAATGATTAAGAAAGCTACCTCGAGTAATATCAGTTAAAGTTACAAGCACCAATCCACATAACGAGCCTGCTTAACCCTGAGCGAACACCTTTCACTTGAACACAGGGGAATTTGTTCCTTACAGTCTTACAGCTCAGGACATCTGAGGCCCGTGTTCCCAAAGATGGGCTTACGGAGGTGAGGGCGCCCATTTCCAAATCACATATGCAGTCAGGATCAAATCTGGGAGAGGCCGAAATGTCATGTCTGCGGATCGACACAGTCGAAAGCTTTCCTTCACCTCCCCTCCCGTGCAGCGGCCACGGTGGCGATCCCTCCAGGTGACATGCCCTCTGCGCCCAAGGCAACGGCACCGCACACTGTAAACACTCCCTGACTGGGGCAATGCCTTCCCAGCAAAGTCACAGCATTAAATTCCCCTGCGTTTTTACGGGCGGGTACCGTGTGTTACCCCATGGCAGAGCCACCTCTGTAGCGAGGCACGCAAACATCAAAAGCCATTGTGATGAAAATAGAAAACCTCGGGCCCGGTCAGAATTGAGCATCAAGATCGTTCCTATGGGCTCTGCAGAACTTAGAAAAGTTTTCCCCTCTGAGTACGTTATAAAAATAAAATATTTCATTAGATAAAGATGATTTTAGATACGTATTACCCAGTTGCACAACCCAGAAAAGCTATTTGGTACATGCTTAAAAATAAAAATTCCACATAAACCTCAAAAACCTGTGTATTAACAATTAGATCGTGGGAACTATCTGCCTACAAGATCCCACTAGCAAGGAAGTGCTAAGAGCCTAGAAACAACGGTGGAGACGACTCCCGTTTTTAGCAATCCAAGGACAGCTTTTCCAAGCAGCTGGTTAAGATTAAATTTTAAAAACGACTGAAATTTTACCTAACCCTCTTGTGCAAAAGCTATGGCTGCACTAAAATTAACTCGTTCTTCTTTGGAAAAATATCTTCAGGAACTAAATAATAACGCTGGTATCGCCCTTCTCATTTGTATTATGTTGGGTTTGATAATCGCTATTTTTAACCCCTCCTTTACCACTTGCAAGTATTTATTTTTTCTGACAAAACCCACTCAGTTTTAGCCATAACTTGGTTTTCATTTCAATCCAGATCTAGAAAGATTAAAGTGAAACTAAAAAAAAAAAAAAAAAAAAAAAAAAACAACCAACCCAGGCATATTTTGACCTTTTTGGCAAGTAGCAGAAAGACCAAGAGAAATCCCTTTTTCTACATTTCATACAGCTCCTGGAAACTCCTGCGATTCTCTCCGACTGCATTACCATGTAAAACCACGGCAAATGCACTCTGCTGAGAATACTTCTTCAAATGAAAAGAACCTTTTATTTTTCAGATGAATTAACTCGAAACTTGCTCTACGTAACATCTCAAAGGGTGAGCCAGTCCATTTTTAATTAACCTGACGCCAATTCCTGCTAAAAAAAAATGCTCATTCTGTTGCTACAGAAAGAGAAGAACAGTTACACCTGAACAAGTCTTCCCAATGCAAACATCCTAACAACAAATAAAAAATGAGCTGCTTCTGAACCCCATGAAATGCCATGCAATTAATCATATGTGGTATAATAAGGATTGCAAGGAAAGGGGAAACTTACTCTAAAATAAAATTCTTCATTCCATTTTGGATTCAGAGTCTGTAAAAGAAACAAATACATTTACATGCTAAAATCTCTTTAGGTTTGCCATTCCAAACCCACCAAAATGTGCATGCAAGTGACAATGTTCTACGGGAAAAAAAAGGAGAAAAAAGCAGGTCATAAAAAAAATTGCCATCACATTATTTAGAACTTGGCTACTGAGTAAACCAAAGGTGGGAGGGTATTTGAGTCAGATGATCCTGAAATAGATGTTAAGTACAAATAGGATTCCATGAGTAAAATGCAAATCACTGAGAGCCTACAGAACTAAAACCTGAGGATGTTTCATTCTCAAGAGGCATTAACCCAGGTGACAAAAATACGTCTTTTTTTAAACACAAGGACAACCTCTGGTTCCCTTTGGAGCCGTTGTGAACAGCCGCTAGAAACTCTCTCCTTTCTGCAGTGGAGAAAGCTGCACGTGCTGTTGGCCGCCTTACGTCGGAGGCTCAGTCTGTTTTGGAAGTTCCTGCTGCTGGGCTTGCCATGTCATCTGTCAGTTCTTTTATAAGCCTGGGTGAAGATTACCCACAGTTCCCTCAGTTTGACGGTGCTGAGCCCTGAAGACTTCGCTTCCACACGGGTTGCGACAGCCTCTATCTTGGTGCCGATCCCCCCATGTTACTCTGCCTTTCCCATACCCAACGCTAAACGTAGTTTCCCATATCTAAAGCTGCTTGGCCTCCCCGCTGAGCCTCACCGCTTAGTAGCATCGTTTCTTTCCGTGTTCTCATTTTATTTATATGGCTGAAAAACCTTCTCTGTGTTTGTTCTGATGTCCTGGGGCGGATCTAACTCCGCTTGGCTCTTGGCAGCTCTTTATCTGTACAACACTTGTCCTTTTTAGGACGCAGCTCTTTTTGCTGATGACTCTTTTGCTGTTGTTTCCCTGCTAATGTCCCCTATGAAGTTATTCACGCATTTATTTCTGGAGCCTTTCTGTACAAGCGTGTTCCTCCTTTGCTGGGGTTCTGGTGTTGGCGCTTGCAGACCTGCCCTACTGAACGTTTGACTTGTCAAGGGGGAAGACGTTTCCACCACTCACCAGGGCATTTACTAAAACTTGTCCTGCCTGGTGGATCAGATATTGCCTGGAGTTTGTATTGGCGGTTGAGCAGCATTCAAAATTAACACGTTGCTGATGGCCAGTAGTGCCCTCAAACTTGGTGCGAGTCCATGCCTCATTTGTTAAACTACATGGAACCTCTCTCGCCAGTAACAGCTGCGTGCGGCTGGAGTAACAAAGCGTGTGGAGGGAGGCAAATCAACCCAAAACCCTCAGAAATTCAACATTGCGAGATCATGCCAGATTAATCTGAAATTTTTCTGATAACTTTGTTTGTCCAGAGTAAGGAACCAATGTGCATGCAATCCCTTTGGCTGGGTCCAGCTGTGCAGGAGAGCTCCCATCAGACCACCATCCAGGTAACACAAAAGGAGAGCCAGGAGGGGAAGCTGCAGGCCCTTCTGCCTTCCTGACGGCAATTCCTGCGAGCCAGCGCCATGCAAAGTCAGACATGAAACTGAGAAAGACAGATGTGAGTAGAAGATGTCACAGCAAAGGAGAAGTGGCAGCGCCGAAGGAGGTAACTGGCAGCGTCCGTCAGAGCCACCCCTGAGACTGAGCTTGCTGGGTATGTTTTTGTGAAGGATTTTAACTCAAAATCAAGATGTACTAACGATGTTTGCTGTTTATGAAATAGAGAGATTGCAGATTGCCTAGGAAGAATCCTGCTTTGAGGGCATAAGGCCTAAGATGGCATCGAACACGTCACAACCGCAGTGTCTACGCAGGACTCTCCAGCAGAGGAGTGAACATCACCGCTGTGGGAACGCTGAGCAGGTCCGGGCTTTCGGGGACAGGTACAAGCAGCCGTGAAGAGAGGCAGATGCAGTCCTGGGAGCACCTCACAGTATCACAGAACTGTTCAGGTTGGAGGAGACCTTTAAGGTCATCAAGTCCAACCATAAATCTAACACCACCAAGTCCACTGCTAAGGATGATGACCACCATCTCCCCCTCGGTCCCTGCCCACGCTGGGCTGCCCTGCACACCCTGCCCTACTCCCTCCCGGGGCAGCGCCAGCCCCCGAGTTTCTCCCTTCCTTCATACAATCAGTACGGTCCTTTCACAGCTTTACTACGATTTTTTTAAATTAAGGTGGTCGTCTCAGAGGCTTCCTGACTCTCCTTTCAGAAGGATCCAAGGCTGGGAAGTATCGCTCCGGATCAGCAGTGATGCTATGCCCTTATTTCCAGTCCCACGCTCCCGTTTCAACCTCTCCTAACTTTCTGCACTAGAGCCATTACATTTCAAATATGTAGGAGCTGAATATACAACATCTTATTGCTTTTATACCAGCAACGTCCCTTCAAATAAGGACAATGTTACCCTAATAAGAATTTTTTAAAAATTTAAAATTTAATTAAGAAAAGACACCAGAAGTTCACTAAAACTCTGGATGTGATCACCATTATTTCCCAAGAAACAAGGGGAAAAAAATGAAGTCCTATACCCATGGCACACTTCCCATCTCCTCTCCCCCCATCTCATGGGCTTGCTACAAAGGATTTCTCACTAAAGCCGAAGGACCCTCGCACCTTCGTGACCTGCCCCATGTCCCCACTATGACCACAACCGTCCCGCGGTTTCGTGACAAAGCTGCAGAACAGCTGAGCTCTCCAGAGGCCCCTTTCCACACCCAGACTACCTCGGCTCATACTCACACTGGAATTCTTCCATTCTATCACAGCGAGAGGTGAAGGATGAAAACCTCCCTCCCATCCTCAGGCAGTTGCAGTCCACAGAAGCTACCGAGCTATTTTACGACAAGGAACAAGCACCACAAGAACTAGACTGGCCTAGGCAGTTATATTTCAGCAAGCCATCCTTTTTCCGGAATCCTGAAGCATGCATTTTGCACACAGGCCCACGAACGCACAGGCTGTTTGTAGGGTACAACTGCTCAAAGGCTCCAACTTCCACCGAGCCCTCTCCAGATGAAATGAGTTGCCCGTTTAGTAGCTGGTAAAGTCTGAGCCTGTATCGCTACTCAACCAAAATTACTACAGTGGTCCAAATTATTTTTAAAATAAGAAAATAAACCTTCACCTGCGCTCCTTTTCTTCTTTCCATCTACCCTTTACCTTGTGAGATTTGCCAGTACACAGCACCGATTTAATGGTTTCCTGTGAATATCGCCAGTCCCCAATAAGACAAAGTCACTCTTGCACCTCAGCAAGACCACAGTAGCTAAGGTGGGACCAGAACTGTAACAGCCAGGTGTTTTATAGCAGCCTGAAAGGGACCTACGGAGCCTACGCGTTTTCCAATCGTATGGTGTTGGGAACAGGACTTGACTCCACACAGCTAGGCCCCGGGAAGCGGCAGGACGACAAGCACGCTCGCTACAAGAACGAGATACGTGTTTCCTAAGGAACCCCCCCATGCTTCCACGGAACTGGTGATAAATCTTGCACCTATTTAAGGACACAACTGCCACAGTCACGTCTTGACCATAGCAGCACACTGGGTACTCCTGCTGGGAAAAGGTCACATCTTTCACACTATTTTAATGTCCAAAACCTTTGCATAAACTAAGCTGATGGGCTATAAAGAACATAATTAAAAGGAGTCAATGAACATAAAAACTCTATTATGAAACAAGAACCAATGGTTCACCGGGGAATCTTTTAGCAATTACTTTTACTCTCCGACATCCAGCACGCCCTGGGTCTCTTGAAAAGTTCTGCTTGAATCTCCCGTGCATCCAGGCTTGCCCAGAGGTTTTCTCCTGGCACCTCATGTTCCGATTTGAGAACAGCATCGTGCTGGTTTGTGTTTTCAGTAACAAAACTCTTCTCACTGGTCTGTTTTGCAATGAGGATTTCACCCAAACCACTGTTGATTCCAAATACCTTCGTAAAAATGATGACTCACTAGTTTTCCTGTACTTTTCACAAGGGTTGGGACTTTTTTCCTCTCTGCCATCACCACCAGTAAATTTAAAAAAAAAAAAAAAAAAAAATCCCCAAAAAACCAAAGCAAAACAAAAACTCCTTAGAGCCCTCACAGTGCCAAGCATCACTGGTGGAATTTCTGTGCAGAATGACACCATTTTCAGTGCATTGCTGGGCTTTGCTTACAGCAAATCTGCTGTCATGGGGCTATTTTAAATGCCCTAGGAGGAAGGTATTTTGAAAATGGAAGTTTTGACAGGGAACATTAAAGAATGATCATTTTTGCTAAAAGTCAAATAAACGACAACTAAACCAGTTTCTTAGTTCTTTATTTCAGCCATGTCCTTCACTAAAATATGGCTTTGATAAAAGAAACCGTGACTGATGCACTGCGATTTGATAAGCCAAGGCTTAGGGAATAACATGCAACACAGGAGGATGTTTCTCTCTCTTGTTTCTGTGTCACAGAGTGTGCTCACTACAGATGCACGCACTTGTTTTCTTATTTCGGTTTGAAAAAACACATTATTCCATTGCTATACATGTATCCAATAAATAAGCATTGCATTACGTTAGAGAGTTGTGTTCCAGCAGCCTTAGCATTTCCAAATCAGTGGACCAGAAAGGAGCGCACGCTTACCTTCTTAATGGTCTTTGTCTGCACAAGAGCCAGCTCTCTGTTCTCATCTGCTACATACAGGGAGAGTTTCACATACGGGTCGCTGCAAAAGAAGAGGCCATGTTTAATGGGAATATAATTGTACAGCCAAATATAACTTCAGTATAAATTTGTCATTTAACTGGATAACAATAGCAGCTCTAAATGCTTCTAGCAAAAGGGTTTTCAGTGAAACCCAGTAGCTGCAACAAGCTACTGAAACATTTAAACTGTGTGGTTGACTATGCTCAGAGGCTGACCATAGCGTTCAGGATAATTTAACCGGCAGCTTTGTCCCCCTGCTACGGCCAAGAACCACGTCCTTGCCTACGGCTCTGCTCAGCAGCACGCACGTGGCAGCCCGTTTACAACACGAGTCGAGAAATGGGTGGTGCCGGGCATTTTAGGAGAGACTGGCTGTGAATAACCACTTGAGGTCAGCAGGAGGGGGAACAGCCATTAGCTTCAAGAAGTGGTTCCAGTTGTATTGAACCATAAAACCAAGCTGCACGGTATCACCAGTGATACCAGTTCAGCCCTTCTGTCCCTCCGACACCCAGATCCCCACCTCTCCTACCCGCACCACGGGTTTGCTCCTCGCCAGCCGGTCCGCAGCGGTGCTCGCTGCAAGCAGACGCTCGTACACCCAGCTCACGGGCCATCCACGCTCGTGGGTCCCCCCCCAATGCCGCCAGGGCCC